ACGGGAGCACTCGCCTTCTCTTTGCTACTGGCTCGATCCTCTGCCACCTGCGGACCTACGGTTGAGAGGCCGCCCAGGTAAAAGCGCGCCAGGCCCCACCCCTCACGCGTTCTGGGCCGGCTCTCACCCCCCCCACCCCCGCCACTCCTCCCACCGTCCCATATTTATGGCTTCTCACCGGATACCTCCAGGCGTCCGCGCCACCGCTGCCTCGCCCGGGGCCCGCAGCAGGATGTAGCAAATACACTGGTCCCTTTCCCTCCAGCTCACTGGAGCACAAGCGGGGTCAGGGGCCTCCACCGCTACCTATGGCTCCTCGCTCCCATTGGAGCGCGCCCTCCTGCCTTCCCTGGGATTGGCTGGAGACGGAAACATTTTATTTTTACCTCCCGGACCCGGATCCAAGCTGACGAAAACTCCGCCCCCTTGGGGGTCTTTGATTGGCTTATGTGCCAAGCCCACCCGTTGATAGGATTGGCTAGGAAAGGAGCGCTCGTCATTCCCCTTTGCAGGTCCATTCAACCTGCCTTCCCCGGGTTAATTGGGAACGCATAGGTGCCAAGTCCCTGGCTAGGCCAGGTGCGAGTCGCTGACCAGAAATCTACGACTTCTTGACGTCTTACCCTCCGTAAGCACCTTGCTCTTCCACTGCTCTGCCAAGAGACACGACTCTGCTCCGTTTCCCATAGCTGCACACCCACTTGCAGGGGTTTTGGAGACAGGTTTCTCTCCAGTTGAACGTTGTTCCTGATTCCATTCATGGAGGTTAAAGTGGTCATGGAGATATGGCACGTCACCCGGCAGCACCTGCTACTTACCGAGACACTGGTCAAGTGCTAACCACGCAAGGAGCCTCAGTTTATCAATCTCTGAAATGGAAAGATACTTAATTTTTTCTCACAATCTTGTGAAGATTAAATGAGAGAACATAAATTAATCACTTAGAGTCCTAAATAGTTAACATCTCCTGCCCTAAATTCTTGCCTTTCCCAATGTGTAGGCAGAGGAAACTATGACCGTGAGAGACAAACTGAGTGACTTGAAGTCACCCAGTTATTACCCAGAATAAAACCCAGGCTTCTGTCTTCCAAAGGAAAGCTGGACGGTTTGGAGGGTCCCACATATTTGGATAGGAATAAATTTACATTTTTATTTTCCCTCTCTGGTAAGTAAAATTTAGCATTTTTTTCAATACAGAGTGTAACTAGCCTTTGGGCTGATGGAGTGGCTCAAGTGGTAAAGCACCTGCCTAGCAAGCATGAGGCCCTACGTTCAAACCCCAATACTGCAAAAAAAAAAAAAGAAAGAAAGAAAGAAAGAGTGTAACTAGCCATGTTTGTAATCATAGTAATATTGGTGACTGTCTCCAATAGAAACCAGAGGTTTTCACATTATATTACAGATGTTTCAGGTCTCTTGAAATATGATTGCTGAAATATGCAATCGGTGTTTTAAAATCATGACAGTCATTAAACCCTCCATAAGACCTTATGATTTAATGGATTAATGAGGGAGCACATAAATTAATATAGCACATATTTGCTTTTTCCATACTTGTTACCAGAAAGCTGCTCCCCTGGTCAATTTACAAATAACAAAGAGCAGGGTTTTGAGGAAATAAGGCCTATTATTGGTCAGAAAAAGAGAAAGACAGGGAGAGTCAACCTCTCAAAGTTCTGTCAAGTGCCTTCTGAGAGAAAATGTCCGCTTTGTAAGGGAGATTTCAGAGGCTCAATCCCAGGACGTGACAAAATGCATGTCTCACAATAGGTGCTGTTCTTGGTTCTCCCAGTTTTCTGGCATCAACTCTCTGAAGCTGTATGTCTGGTGGTCAGAGAGAGGTAAGGGGGAGAAGATTTCCTGGTTTAATTGAAGAGTAAAGAGTTTTAACCTTGGACTCTACAGCATGGAGAGAGGGAGGGAGAGACAGAGAGACAGACACACAGAGATACCAGTTTGAATAGCAAGCAGAGTAAACGGGCCAGCATGAAAGCTGGTTATACCAAAAGTTTTTCCCTTTTATAGTCCTGGTAACATATATTAATAAGGATTTCAACGTAATCATTCTTTTGTAATTCTAGACATTTTATTTTATGCATTTAAAAGGGTTTTTTCTGATGAAAGGCCCTTAGGCTTCACTAGGTTACCAAAGAGGTCCATGGCACAAAAAATTGGACTCTGAGTTTTCTTGTTTCCTTACTGTATCCCTAGCACCAGTCTAATATGAGGCACATAGTAGGGACTCAATGAGTGTTTCCTGAATGAATAATAAGATTTCTCCCCAATTAGAGGGCTAGTGCTGGCCCTTTTGGTCTCCTGAGAATTAGGGACATTCCTGAATCTAGTTTCGTCTCTGCCAATCTGATTCTGTCCACAGAAGTAGGTGGCACTTTAAAGCTCTGGCCCTGGAGATCCAGGGAACCTCACACCCAGGATCAGGACCCGTTGTTGCAGAGGGGTGTAACTGTGAAGGATACAAAGACAAGTAGTTTCAGCATGGGAACCTGCCCCAGGACATATGATGTCTTTGACTACTTATCCTCTTCCTGGTTTCTGTTTATAGTCCCAGCAAATGGGGCCTATCTTCTCTGATCTTCAGTGAATACTATATTTTGGTGCTAGTTGTAACCTTAAAGACCTTCTAGAACAGCCTTTCTTTTTGGAGGTCCAGACTGAGGAGTGAGATCACAAGACACAAGATGCCACCCTGTGCAAAGAACTTTCTCTCATGGCTCAGCCCAGGACGTGAGCAAGCCGGTCAGCTTTATTAGAATCCCATAATTGGCTCCTCAGAGTGCCTCTGCAGACCAGAGCCATCTTTGACAGTGTGGTTGAAGAGGAGTCTCAAATGCCAGGATGTGGGGCTGGGGATTTAACTGGGGGAGGGTAAGGAATCAGGGAAGAACATGGTGAAATCCAGACAAACCTTAGGCAGGATGCTTGCCTTGGGCTGATCTCCCAGCACCATTAGCATAAGATGGTGGATGGGAAACCTAAGGCCCTCTAAACGGATGAGGGAGTCATGTTGCCAGTTAGGACAGACTGAGGCAAGAGTAACCAGGCTGGCTACCTCTCAGACTGGCTGTGATTCTGTTGACAAGTTGACTTCTACCAGGTAGGTTCCTCCTACCTCAGCTTCCCATGTAGCTGGGACTACAGATGTGTACCACTGTGTCTGGCTAAGAGGTTCTCCCTTTCTAAGCCTCAGTCTTCTCTACCCATCTCTGACAAGGTGAGTCAATGTCAGAACCTGAGGCATCAAAGCCTGTCAGTTCCAGTATCTTAAAAGCTCTTATGGAATTTACATATTTCTCACGCAGATGAATTCCAGTTAAATTATGTACTTTCCTCTCAAGAAAGTGCAGCGTAAGTTTTTCCATTCCTTAAGCATGTGCTCCATTCAGTGGCTTCTTTCCAAAGAGTACAGCATGGAAAGAGGGGAAATGGAGTAACTTTAGAGTAGGAAACCTCACAGCCACTACCTCAGCCAGGTGATCAAAGTTAACATCAACAGTGGTAAGTCATATTCATATTCATACTATGTACCTTGTGCCATGATGTGAAGAGAATGGCATTTTACTCCTATGGTCTTCTTCCCCCAAACCTACAGCCCCATTTAGCCAATAGAAAAACATCAGACAATTCCCAGTCAAGGAATGTTCTACAAAAGGCCTGACCAGTACTCCTCAAATGTTGATGACTCCAGGTCATCAAAAACAAGACAAGTCTGGGAAAGTGTCATAGCCAAGAGGAACCTGAGGAGACATGACGACTAATGGAGTGTAGAATTCTAGATAGAATCCTAGGACAGAAAAACGACCATAAGTTAACACTAAGGAAAACTGAATAAAGTATGGACTTTGGTTAATCATAATGTGCTGATACTGGTTCACTGTGACTAATGTAAAATGTTAAAAATGGAAGCTGGCTGTGAGGTATTCAAAATTTTTCAGTATCACCTTTGCAATATTTCTTAAATCTAAAACTTCTGAATTTAAAACTTCTTTAAAAAGACTCCCAAATAAGTCCCCATCATGTCACTTTTACCTGAAGTATAGATAACTTCCACTTTCTCATTGCTCTTCCTCCCTCCCATCCATTCTCCAAGCAGCCAGCAGAGGGCATCCTCTCAACCGCAAATCTTTATTCCTGCGAAATACAGGCGTTGGATGGAAAGTTCGGGAGATTCATTGTAAAAGACCCACCCGATGCATGTATAAAAGTCATCATTATGATTCAGAACGAATCTCGTAAGTATTTCTGGTATCCACTGAAATAAAGTTACTGTATTCAAAATGTTATACAGCTCAGCGTTTCCAAAGTCTCCTAAAGAAAGTCTGCCTTTCAGATGCCCAGCTCCGGACCTTTCTATCCTGTCACACAGCTACAGAGTAATTTCCCTTTGTTTTCCCTTTATTTCTATGCAAACTCTTCCGCATTAGCCATCTTTTCTCCTGCCTTCACTCCCTGGGCCCAGCTCCAGGGAACTTGCAGCCCCTCCCTAAAACAAGAGAGAGCCAGATCAGTGTAGTGACTTTTTCTTTTTACTACATGCGAACGAGAAAAATGGATTCCTCCGGCTCCCCCACATTCCGCTCACAGCTGAAGAAAGGTTTGACGCACTATAAATGAAAAGATGAATCACCAAATAAATTGATGTTCTAGGGTACAGGGAGTCTGTGTGCGCGTGCGCCAAGGGGAAAGGCGTGGGAAGCTCTTTGCTACCTGCCTGGGTCTATTGCGGCCTCCGGGAGCAGGAGGGGCTACCTCAGCTTCACCCGGTTATTGGCTAGGATGGTCCGCATTAGTTTGACGCAACGCCTCTGCGTCCGCAGAGCTCGCCCAGCGGCACCCGCCCCTGCCCTCCCCCAGCCGGCTCTATCTTGCAGGCGGTTGCATAGGCCAGGTCGATTCGTGCTGGCCTGTTGGGGGGACTGGCCGCTAGGGACAGCGCACTGGGGCGGACAAAAGACTCAAAACGGACCTTAAATTTGCTCAGTTTTATTAGGATCAGCAGGGTTCAACAGGGAAAGAGGAGGAACTTCTGGGGGAGGGGAACAGGAATACTGCAATGGCGAAGTAGCCTTGCATAGATACCGAAGCGGGCTAGCGGGCACGCGGGAAAAAGAGAGGGTTGGAGAGAGAGAGAAAAGAGAGACTTGGGAGAACAAGATGGCAGCAAAGCCTCCAAGGCCACTGTGCAGCTGCGACGAAGGCCACAGCGGCCCTCCTGGCTTCGGGATCAGGGTGTCCACTTCATACTGCACGGAGAGAAGGGCTGGGACCAACACTGATGTGGAGAAGAGGGCTATTGGGGCCCTGACCAAGGCATCACAATAAATACATTTAGCAGCACACAGAAGCCTGCGGGGAGTGGGGAGGGCCAAAAAAAGGGGAATTCCCCCTTTCCTCCTCCCAAAATAAGAACTCTGCAATTACTAAACCATAAAAATAAACTTTAAACCCGTGTATGAAGTCGGTAACCCCCCAGAAGTGCAATGTGGGGCCGCATGGCCCTAGCTGAGGGGCGGGCAAATGGGGCAGGGGCCGGGGGATACAGAGAAGAGACCCCCCAAAAGGGTAAGATGTTTATCCGGTTTTTTCCCACTTCCCAGGGTTGGCCCAAGACTTTGGGAACTGCAGCACCTCCTCGATTTCTGAGTCTTCTGAGTCGACTTCGCTTTCTTCCTCCTCATAGCTGTGCTCACCTTGCTCACTCTCTGCGAAGGGAAGAGAGGCAAGGACAGGAAATGAAGGATGGTGGTTAGAAGGGCTGGGTAGGTGTCACTCAAAAAGGGAGCAGAATACATACCCAAGGCTTTTAAGGGCCTAGGACCACTTGCCAAATGCCTGGAAAGAGCAGAGGTGTGTGTGTGTGTGTGTGTGTGTGTGTGTGTGTGTGTGTGTGTGTCTTCTAAGGGCCTAGGACCACTTGCCAAATGCCTGGAAAGAGCAGGTGTGTGTGTGTGTGTGTCTTCTAAGGGCCTAGGACCACTTGCCAAATGCCTGGAAAGAGCAGGTGTGTGTGTGTGTGTGTGTGTGTGTGTCTTCTAAGGGCCTAGGACCACTTGCCAAATGCCTGGAAAGAGCAGGTGTGTGTGTGTGTGTGTGTGTGTGTGTGTGTGTGTCTTCTAAGGGCCTAGGACCACTTGCCAAATGCCTGGAAAGAGCAGGTGTGTGTGTGTGTGTGTGTGTGTCTTCTAAGGGCCTAGGACCACTTGCCAAATGCCTGGAAAGAGCAGGTGTGTGTGTGTGTGTGTGTGTGTCTTCTAAGGGCCTAGGACCACTTGCCAAATGCCTGGAAAGAGCAGGTGTGTGTGTGTGTGTGTGTGTTTGTGTGTGTGTCTTCTAAGGGCCTAGGACCACTTGCCAAATGCCTGGAAAGAGCAGGTGTGTGTGTGTGTGTGTGTGTGTGTGTGTGTGTGTGTGTGTGTCTTCTAAGGGCCTAGGACCACTTGCCAAATGCCTGGAAAGAGCAGGTGTGTGTGTGTGTGTGTGTGTGTGTGTGTGTGTCTTCTAAGGGCCTAGGACCACTTGCCAAATGCCTCTGCTTGGAAAGAGCAGCCGTGTGTGTGTGTGTGTACACTCAAGCCCACAGGGTGAGGGGGAATGGGAGAGAGGCAGGAAGGCAAGGTGGATTTCTTGTATCTGTCCTATCAAAATTGATACATCTCTGAAATAGCTCCCCCGACCCAATTCCTCAATGTGTGTCTCTTCCTGAGCTCCAACTTCAGCTGAATAAACCTTCTATTCATCCCCAGGCAGTTCTCTCACTTTCTTCCCTTGATCAGTGTCATCCATACAGGCCCAAGTCTGTCTTCTACAGCTTAATTCCCTACCCCCTCCCATCCCAGGTTGGGCAGACAGACAGCTCTGCCCCCCATTCTTGGAGAGAAGAGATGCCATCAGGTGTGAGGGGAAGAGGACTGACAATTCTCTAAGTTTCCCTACCCTACCTGCACTATGTCTAGATTGAGGCTATTCACTCATTCAATGCCTTTCTCCTTGATTCCCTGCCTCTTCCCTCAGTGGAAGTTTGTTGGGGACCCCGGGCCAAACCTCCAGGAATGATTGGTCTTCCTGCCCCTTTCACCTCCCCCAGAAGTCCACCTCTCCTCTGTCTGTCTATAGCCCGGGTCAAATAGCTCTTTTCACCAGACTTCCAGGCCAGAAACAAACCTGGGGAGCCAACCAAAATATTGTCTTCTCCCTCAACAGACCCCCACCCATGTGCAACCCTTCCTCAGCATTTCCTCAAATACATTCTTTCTTTTTTTTGGTGGTATTGAGGTTTGAATTCAGGGCCTCACACTTACTAGAAAGGTGCTCTAGCACTTGAGCCCTCCAAAAGTATTGAATACTTGAATACTCCAAAAGTATTCGTTTTTTGGTGAGCAGTGCACAATGGCTTCTGTGGTCAAGAAGTTTGGGAAATTCAGGGTTCTGTAAACTGAAATAGGTGTTTTTATGGCAGGATTTTCAGAACTTTTAAGAGAAAATTAATGTATGCAGTATTTCCCTAACACTGAGAAGCACCTTTCAGAACTGGTGAAGGATCCTCAGATAATTTTGGAAACCTTGCCAAACATACCATGCATTTTCACCCTTCCAGGTCCTTGTTCACAATATTCATTCCATGGAGAAGGCTCCTCAATGCTCCTCAGTGGGAATACAGCTTCCAATTAAAATGTCACTTTTTTCTAGCTTGCTCTCTGCTCCTTCCCTACTCGAGATGGAATTAGTTGCTTCATCCTCTGGGTTCACAGAGCATGCTGCACACCTCATCCCCAGACTCCCAAAGAAGTCTGGGAGATCCCAGAAGGCCAGGACTGAGTACAGAGTGTGCTAAATTGCAATTTGTTTGCAACTTCTTTTCCATGTGTGCATGTGCATGTCTGTGTGCTTGGGGGGGTGGGAGGGAGGGAGGAAGGGAGGAAGGGAGGGAGGGAGGGAGGGGGAGGGAGAGGGAGAGAGAGAGAGAGAGACAGAAAGAGAGAACAATTGTTCTTTTTAGTTTCCCACCCACTGTTTCTTGTCTCTTTGCTCATTTTTCTTTTATTCTGTTACAGCCTACTTACCCATCACCTAGAATTTAGCACTGTTTCTTTGGTTTTGTTACATTTATATGTTAAATGTTTTCTGACCTTCTATTGTTTAAAAAGTTGCACAAAATACTTTTTTGCTTTCTCCAAAGAACAGACTCTGTTCAAGTCTGGATACCTTGTACCAGGATTTCTCTGAGAGAAGGGAGAGGAAAGATAAGAGGAATCTAGCTCACCTTCTTCACTGCCTTCCTCCTCCTCTGATTCTTCAGAGATGATCTCTACCTCATCTTCATAGTCATCCTGGTTGGTGCTGTTATCCAGATCCTTGTCAAAGACCTCAATGTCATTCTTGTAGTAGTCAATGTCTCTATCATCATCATCACTTCCCTCATTGTCACCCTCATTGCCATCATCATCACTGCCCTCGTTGTCGCCTTCATTGCCATCATTATCTTCATCATCACTGCCTTCATCTCCATTGTCACTATCACTGCTGTCTTCGTTGTTGCCATTGCTGCCCTGGTGGCTACCTTCCAGGTTTTTATTGTCACCATCACCATTCTCATTGTCATAGGTGTTCTTGTTTTCCAGGTTCTCACTGTTGTTAACAGGACTCTCATTGTCATTGGCACTCTCGTCAGTGGTTTCATCATCAGTGCTCTCGTCAGTGGTCTCATTGTTGGGGCCTTCATTGAGGTCAGGGTTCTCACTGTCACACAGACTCTCATTGATGTCAGTTATCTCATTGTCAGTGGTCTCAAAGTAGTCAGTGGTCTCCATGAAGTCAGAGATCTTGATGTCATAAATGGTCTCATTGTCGGTGGTCTCATCAATGTCTGAGATCTCGCTGAGAATGTCTTCCATGCCATAATAGTCATGAGCATCTTCCATGATCACCATTTCATATTCATTCCTGGCTTTACTGTAGGGAAGTTTGGGGCTGAGTATAGAGTTAGCGGGAGGGGAAGACACTGAAAGATGGTAAGTAAGCTATAAGTTATCCTAGAGATGAGGCTATGGAGGGGAGAGTCCCATTGGTGTCCTTGACTGTGTAACCTTAGGCCACTTCCTGGCATCAATATTTACTTATAAACCATTGCACTGGATTATCATAAAGGTCCCTTGTGTGACACTAGCCGAGTCTCTGCCCCATCTCCAACAAACCAAGTCTCAGCTACCAGATTCCCCCATTACCTTTCCTTCTCTTCTTGTTTTTTTCTGTTTGCCCTATAGCCCCCTTCTCTCATGTAGTAGCGCAGAGGATTAACCCACAGGTCGTTCTTGATAATCTATTGAAAAAGAAGGGAGAAGACAGAACAGAGCTATGAGTAAAAGCCCTAGACCCTACTCCCAATCCACCGGGCACCCAGGGTTAGACCTAGCAAGGCCTTCTTTGGCCAGGAGGGACCTCACCTCAGCAATCCTGTCAGCCTCTGGGAGGCTGTGGTTTGAGAACCAGCTAAAGAAGCTGTGACTGGCGTCCTGGTTCCTGCGATTATGGGCCTGGGGTTCCTGGCCGCGGTGCCAGCGGATTGGGGTGGAGTGAGACACCAGCCGGCCTAGGAAGAGAGGAGGCCATTGAAAGGGGAGTGGAAAAGGATAGATGGGGGCCATGGATTTACCCTGGGACTGCCACTTACCCGAGCGGTTGCGTTGGAACTCCTTGACTATCACCATGTTTGTAAAGTATGGGTTTGTCTGGAAGTACAGCTTCATTTTGTACCCCATGGAGATATGTCTGAGATCCTGTACCTGCTCAGGGTAGGGGTAATGGTGGTATCTGTCCCCTTCATGGTCCCTCCCACCTCCCCCTCACCTCTAAGGACCAGATTCCTTGGCCTTCCTCTTCGGCCTGACCTGAAGATTGGTCAAGTAGCGGAAAATGTCTTCATCACGTTGGTTGATCAAGATTGAAATTCTGGGGTGGTTGAGGAACTGATGAGTGGAGCAGTTTAGGTCAAGGATTAACTATTCAGTGAGATGGAGAAAGGGAAGACCAGGCAGGGCAGGGCCAAAGAGAGACTGCACCAGGAGAATTCCTTCTGTGTTCATCTGATGTGCATGGGGCAAGTGGGTCATGTGATATGACCCATACTTTTATTCCTATGAATAAAGTCTATGTGGTGAGAGCCTGTGTTTATACAATGTTAAACCTCAGTGTTAGGTACCCTTGCCATAGTTCATATTTGCAGTGTCTGGGTGCTGAGGATCTAGATCTTTGTCTCTGGGAGCTGGGGGCTTGTGTTCACAAAACACTATGTGTCTAGGTGCTGAGGCCTGTGTCCAAGTGATGCTGTATTTGGTTGCTAAGGCCTGTGGTCATATGATGGTTGTATATGTGGGTGTTGAGGTTCTGTGTCCACATGATGTTGTATGAATGGCTTTGAGGGTCTGTGTGCAGAGCACTTTTGGCCACGTATACTGGGATGGATGTGGAAGTCTTATGTGTACATGATACTGTGTCGCTGTGTGCTGAGGGCCTGAGATCTTGTGATGTTCTGGGTGCCAAAGGTCAATATCCATGTAAGTCTGTTAAGATGTTAAAACCCATGTGTTCCTAACTTGTTACATGTATTTACATATATTGCCCAGGGATGAGCCTATCAGTCACCAACAGTGAATGGGATTTTTCCTATTCTCCCCTTTCCCTCATTTAATCTCTTGATCTCCATGTCCGTATTCTCTCTCCTGGCCCTTCAGGGGCTCCAGCTCCTCTCTAGCCCCCTCTCCTCTAGGCAGGACACTCCAGCCAGAATAGGGTCTCCAGAAATCTAAGCAGAAACCGAGGCTTGCAGAGCCCTGTGTGGCTTAAGCACCCTTTCTGGGCAGTTCCTTCATTATGTACCCTTTTCCTTCTTTACTGTCTCTGAGTCAGTTCATCATCTGTATGCCTCTCCCCTCCTCCTTTTACCACCTTTGGTCCAGTTTTTCTGCTGTGTGTCCCCTCTACTACACTCCCCATTTCACTGTCTATAATCCTTTTGTTGTTATTGTTATGCTCCTCCTCTCCCCTTTTTCCCATTTACGCTGTGTGCCCACTCCTCCTTCATCATCTACAGCCCAGCGTCTCTGCTGTTTTGCCCTCTTCCTTCCATCCTTCTTTCACCCAGTCTAGTGAGTCTTCTGATACGGGTATCTACCCATCTCAGTCCCTCCCCCACACCCTTTCTGCCCCTCCCCTACCTCCCCCTTTCTGTCATGGGCCTCTGGCCCATGAGCACCGATGAGAAGGATACTGCTTTGACCCAGAAGCCTGGGATATGCTGGATGATGAGGTCTCTGCGTTCCAGAAAAGGTCTTCTCATCTGAATGAACTTGCGCTTGAGACGCAGGAAGGCCTTGCCTGCTTTGATGTTCACCGCCTCCAGGTCCATTTGAATGCTCTCCAGTGCCTGCAGGATGCTTTCCATCCTCTGGGCATTCCTCTCTTTGCTTTCCTTCTTTACCTTCCTCTGCTTCCTCCTCCTCCGCCTCCTCCTCCTCCTCCTCACACTTTCCTTTACATTCTCATCCTCATCTTCCACTAGGATGACAGCCTCTTCCTTCCTCTTTGGACCAACTAACACCTGGGGCCCCCACCCTACTGAGCTACAGGTTTCTAGGGCCTTCTCTCCAGCAAGGCTGCTGGACTCTGCAACCTGGAAGTCAATTTCTAGGCTTCCCCCAGAGGATTCGGAAGGGGGGAGTGTTTCCAGGCTCCCTGTTGGAGGGGGCGCCTCCCCGTACCCTGACTCGATCGCAGGATCCCAGCCGGGACCCCCAGCACCCAGGGTGAAGTACGCGCGGATCCCCCCCTCCTCGAGAATGACATAGGGTGGCGGTGGGGGCAGCGTGGGCCCCAGTCCCACCCCCCTCATGTCAGCCAGCACCTGTGCAGCCTCGGTTTCCTCCCGGAGCCTCGGGCGCTGCTGGGGTGGAGGCAGGGGCAGTCGCAGGAGCGGCGGCGGGGGCGGGGGCGGCGGCGGGTCGCGCTGAGGGGGCTCCGGGCTGCTCAGGCGGCGGGTCTTCGCCGGAGGCCCCTCATCCGGGCGGTCCATGGTGACCGTACTCAAAGCTCAGGGGATCACACTAGCTCTTGGCCCGGCACTCGCTACCAGTCGCACCTGAAGTGGAGCCGCCAGACCTCACGCGACCAGCTCCGCTCGCCGCCTTGCTCTGACGTTCCCTCCCACAGCGCCTGCCCTACTCCCTCCGCGCCAATCGTCGAGGCCCCGCCCATTCCTTGACGCAAGGGCCTGCTCTGCCTCTCTATTGGCTGCTGGCCATCGTGGAGGCGCTCGCGTTCCCTCGACCCCTGCCCGCTCTCACGCAATCCGCTTGCCAACACTACACATCATCACTTTCGGATTGGCTCCCCTCAGACCCACCAATCATCAGGCTGACTACCCTAGCGATGAGAGGAGAATTGCAGGGCTATTGGCTGTGAGGAGAGCTAGGGAAGAAACTCCTCTCCCTCACTCTTGCAACATTTTATCCAATGGGAAAAGTACCAGTGGTTCTGAAGACCAAAAAACAGGACGAAAAACAAACGCAGGCACTGAGCAGGATGTGCTCAAATAAAATCTGAGAGCCTCGCTGTCGTTCTCCCTCCCCCCCATCGCCCAGCAACTACGCACTTCTTAAATCTGTCTTTTCTACCACTCCCTGCTTGAGACCCTGGGATGAATTCCACTGCAGCACCTCAGGGCACCCTGCAATTTAGGTGCCCAAGGTCTTTGGTTTGGGGCCAGGTTTTGTCGTGGCTTTTTCCATTACTAAAAAATTGCTCTAGAAATAATCACACACAAAGAAGTAACTTCCTCTGCGTCATAAAAATGATTGTGATTCAGCTCATTTGCTGGACTCTTCTAGAACTTTCTCTCTTCATCTATTAATTATTTCTTCTCCCGGTCTTTCCTCAGTTTATGCTGCTATTAATGGTATCTTAATATTTTATTTTTTTAATGACCGGTGGTCTTTGGTGAAGCATGATGATGTTTTGGCCATGGTTCTAGAACTCGCATCATGGGTAGGTCCCTTACTCTGTAACTAACAAAATCACTGCTCCTCTCTGAGTTTGTTTCCTCTAAATGAGATGTCCCTAAAGAGAGATATGGGTAACTGCCCATTGCAGCCTTGTAGTAGCATAATAAGAGGGAACCTATCGCATCACCAGGGGAATGGATAAGATGTGATACATGTTTTAGATGGACCATTAGAATGAATTAGATCTATGTACAGCAACATGGCTAGATCTCTCAAAAACAGAATGTTGAGTGAAAAAAGAAACAACAAGATTTATAGTACAATACTGTTTATGTAAATTAAAACACAATACCATATATTTTCCACAGATACACATATGTAAATAAACACATGAACGGTGGATTGGAAGGACATAAATTAAGTACAGAAGATTGGGTGCCTATATGAGGTAGGGAAGGATGGGATCAGGGATGTGTGATGAAGGAACAAAACGGAACAAAATAAAGATAAAAGGATCTTGCATGGACCAATGATGACATAATGTGCCAAGAACTGGTCAGCTCAATTCTGTGCACCTGAGAGAATAAGTAAATAAATAGATAGTAAATTGATTGAGTGCCCAGGGAGTAAGCTGGCTGGCTGGATCCCCAGACTGGGGTTTTTCCCTCTGTGGCATCCCTTCCTCTGACTTTAGTCAAAGCTGACCAAAGTCCTAGCTGTGTACAGTGGATTCTTAAGGGCTCCCCAGACTGAGCAGTTCCTCCAAAAGCCATTACCTTGTGGGGTTCATTTTCTAACCCCTTTCACCACCCCCCACATTTGTTCTTCCAAATCCCATTTCCCAACCTTCATAGTGGTCTAATTTCAGGAGCACCTTCTTTGAGTTTAGGGAAGGGGACTGCATCTCCAGACTGTGAGAGGAGATTGGTTTCTCAAGTAACCTGCCCTTCTCCATGCTCAGAGCCTGGGCCAAGGGAGGGCAATCTTATAAGATGGGAGTCAGTTCTCTTGCTACATACATACATAGAATTTCCAAATTCCAACTCCTGAGCACTCTATTTCCTGTTGCAGGGACGTACTGTAGTTTGTCTCCTCTCAGCTAAATGTGTGTGTGTGTGTGTGTGTGTGTGTGTTATGTCTTCACGTAGCGACATTTGCTCACGTTTGCAACAGGCAAGTTTTCTTCAGGGTTGCCCCCCTACACAAAGTCACACAGACACACATTGCCTCATTCAATCATATCTCCCCACATGACACAGACACACACATACATACAGACACACACACAGAAAGAGAAAACATCCAATATAGCATAGTTCATTTCAGTTTTTCCATTTACAAAATCCAATGGTGAATCCAGGCAATTAGAAAAAAGAAATGGAGGAAAGCCCTCCTGAGTGTACCCTATTTACCCCCCACCCTCTTGATCTTCCCACCCCATCCCCTCAGAAAGGCACCCCCATCGCTATCACTGAGAGAATAGGTATTCCCCACTCTCAGCCCCTCAGCCATTCTGGCCTGCCTTTCCAGGGCCACTCTACAGCCAAGCGCATTAATGTCTCTCCTGCCTAGAGTGCCCTCCTCATTACTTTTGAGTCAAGGCTTCCCCAGTTTGGGGGCTGTCTTGCGATAGGGAGGGACCTTAGGACAGGGGCTTCGATAAAGAAGGGAAAGGGAGTGGATAAATACAGATAGATCCCTGCTCCTGTAGGAAATGAGAAGGGGACAGAGAATCTGGGAAAGTTCAGGCTAGTTTGACTCAGTGGTCCACAGAACTGGCTTTGAAGTAAACACAGAGTGGACTCTGCCCTATGGGAGCCAGGCTTGAGACCTCTAGCTTGGGGACTCTGGCTGCAGGCTGCTCCACTTTGGGTGTAGGTAAGAGTGGAAGGCAGAAGTGGAGGAGGTCTGTTGAGAGGAAGGACATTTGGGGTTGAAGACTCAGAAGGCCAAGGGCAACCAAGGAGGGGCTTGAGGCCCCTGAGGCTTGAGGAGGACAAAAAGAGGTCAAATATAAGTGGAGTCAATTCCACAGTGCCTTGGAGTTTGTAGCACTGCTAGTAACCAAGGCCCCCAAAAGAATGTCCATCTTCAAAAAAGTAGTGTGAACCTAAGAGACAGTTCTGGGGTTCAATTAAGCTCTGATCCCAGGCTCTGGGGTCCAGCTACTCTGGGGAGTTCAGCCTCCTCCATACAGTTCCTGGGGGGGCTGTCCCTGCCTGCATGGCACCCACATCAGCCCTAGCAGGACTGGAGTGAATGTCTACCCTCAGGAAGAAGAGTTGAGGGGATGGGGAATCCAGGAGGCAGCATGAGCGAATGCAGCCAAGCTGTGTTTCCTCAGCTTAAGGACTTCAGTTGCTATCCTTTTCTTCACCTACCCTGGGCCCATCCTGGGAGCCCTCCTCCCTACCTCCTTGGCTTCTCAAACAGATCTGCAAGAAACACTTGGGAGGTATGGACATGGTGGGGAGGGAGAGGACACTGAGCTTGGGACCAGTGTTAGCCGAAAACAACATTGCACACAACATAGCAATTAAACATCTTTGCTCCCCTAGAACTCAGCACTCCCTTGGTCCTTCTTGTCAGCAGCCTTGGATCAATTTCTCCCTAAACATCCAGGCCTTGCTAAAGGACTTGGAAGGGGAATGTGCATGGGAGCAGAAGGGACAGCAAGAGCTCTGGAAATCTATTTTACAGGACAAATTTCTCCCTTCTGGACAATGTCAGAAGGAGAGACATTAAAGCAAGAAAGCCTGTCTCCTCAGCTGTTAGTAGAAAAACCTGCATTTCAATTTTGTTTTCTTTTTCTGAATTGTCAGAAGAGAGAGAGAGAGAGAGAGAGAGAGAGAGAGAGAGAGAGAGAGAGAGAGAGAGAGAGAGAGATTGTAGAAGTGGAGAAGGAGGCTGTGGAGACAGGCTCCACAAAACTAGAAATGCCTCTTTCCCTGTTCCCCACCCAGTCTCCCACCCTGGGGAGGTGTTGGCAAAGATGCCTCGATTAAGGATAGTTTGAGGGGCTGGGGCTGGAGCTCTGAAAAGAAGGCTCCTGTGTGGGGTCCCACCCCTCCCTTGCTCTTGGCCCCATCATGGTGGCTATGACCTTTTCCCTGCCTGTCTGCCTACCCTCCTGCTTCACATGACACAGTAGGGTTCTCTGGGAGCTGGGGCACCTCCTGTACCCCAGCAAGGGGCATGAGTCCTCAGGCACTTCTTGAGGTCCTTATTGAGCAGGAAGCAGACGATCGGGTTGACGGCAGCCTGGGCGAAGCTCATCCAAACAGCGGTGGCCAGGTAGCGGTGGGGCACAGCACAGGCTTTCACAAACACTCGCCAGTAGCAGGCCACAATGTAAGGTGACCAGAGGAGCAGAAAGAGCAGTGTGATTGCGTAGAACATGCGGCCCAGCTGCTTTTCACCCTTGACCTCGTCCATGCCCAGCAGTCGCCGGCTGGCTGCATGCCCATTCTGCCGGATACCCAGCAGGGTTGGTGGCATGGGCCCTCGGCCAAAGCCGGCGATCCAGTTGGCAGCAGCCTGGCCGGTGGCCCCAGGGCCATGGAATGTCCAGTTCTGACTGATGGCTGGTACCATCTGCACTGGCTTCATCTTGCGGTGACGATACTCAAAGAGGAGCAGCTTGCCATAGACGGCATGTGTGGCTGCCATGAGCACAGCCAACATAAGCATGAAGCCCAGGGTGTCATTGGCTTTGAAGTAACGATGCTCAAAGATGCACTGGTCCTCCTCCCGGATAAACTTGTAGGTGCCCACATCGAAGACAGGTGGGAATGCCATGGCCACAGACAGGGTCCAGGCCATGCAGATGACAGCTGCGCATGTCCAGAGTGTCATGCGCTTGGCGTAGAAGCGGTGGTGGGCGATGGCCATGTAGCGGGTGACACTGATGCAGAACAGCATAAAGGCTGCATGGAAGCAAAAGAGCACGGCCATAAAGGCCACAATCTTACAGCTGAGTGCACTGAAGGTCCACGAGGAGCCATGGCGCACAGAAGCCAGTACAAAGGGGAAGCAGACGGCAGAGCGTATGCCATCGGCTAAGCACAGGTCCAGCAGAAAGTAGTAAGGAGCCTTGTGCAGGGCACGCTCCTTGAGCACCAGCAGGGACAAGATGGCGTTGCCTGCCAGGCTCACGCACATGATAAGTCCCAGCAGCACCAGCTTCACGTAAGCCGATGCTGATGGTGGGGACAGTGCGCCGCTCACCTCCTCGGGCTCTCCTGTGGTGTTGGCCATACTGAGGGGCAAGGGCTACTCCCAACCCTATGGGGTCAGCCAGTTGGGTACTCGATGGGTCCTGGGGGACCCCATCAGTTGTCCTGCTGGGCTGCACCTGCAAATGGGGACAATGGGAGGGCACAGACACAAAGAGACAGAGAGATGAGAGCAGGAGTCAGAATACCGTACACAGACACAGAGACAGAGTGGGAAAGATT